TTGGAAAGAAACAGGTCTGTTGGCAGAGGGCATAGTATCTAAGCATAGCACACCAAGTCTCCAAAATGTAAATATAGAACACAACTTATCCAGTTACTCAAACAGCAATTATAAAGAAATACATTCCACTGCTATCACTTGGCAAAATTGTTGCATAATGGTTCTACCATATAAATATCTAATTGTGATATTAGTAGGCAGGGTTACTTAAGTCATAAAGGCAACAGGTAGCAAAGATCGAAGCTAGCTTATTTGATCCAAAACAATCCATAACCACTCAATGAGCAAATGTAACAGAACTTAAGTGCTTAAAAAAATATTACTATCACAGTTGACCTTTGAAGACCTAGTCCCTGCTTCTCAAATTTCTTATATTAAAGACCACAATTCAACCCTACAGGCCCAATTTTAAATTAGTCTCTGACTCATAATGACTCTGGTGTAAGCTCCTCCTCTCTCCACTGTCCCGCCCCTTTTCCCCATTCAGGAATCTCTTTCACTGAAGTTCTGAGAGATTATTCAGGCCCTCTTACACAAGAGGTTGAAAAGATCTCTGGACCTGGAAACACTAAGCTGGATTCCAGCCCCCGGTCTGCCATTCTCTCTCTAAAATGTCTTGGGGGAAGTAAGCCACTTGACTTCTCCAGCCTGTATCTTCATGCATAAGACATGGGGAAAGACCAGATGCTGCTGTCAAAGGTCTCTTCCTGTGAAGTTACATAATTATGGTTTCCAGTGAGGTTCACTATTTCAAGAAAGAACCAGTTTCATTTCTACACAGCTCTTATTGTTAGAAAGGACTTTCTAAATGTCCAAATACAGACATTCTTCAATCCTGAAATTCCACTTCTTTTTTTTTTAATATATTTTATTGATTTTTCTACAGAGAGGAAAAGAGAGGGACAGAGAGTTAGAAACATCGATGAGAGAGAATCATCAATCAGCTGCCTCTTGCACATCCCTCATTGGGGATGTGCCTGCAACCAAGGTACATGCCCCTGACCAGAATCGAACCTGGGACCCCTCAGCCCGCAGGCCAATGCTCTATCCACTCAGCCAAACCAATTTTGGCCTGAAATTCCACTTCTTGAAATCTACCCTAGAAAAATATGATGTGTACATAGGAAAAAAAATCTATTAGCATCATTTGTAGTAACAATTAATTAGAAACATCCAGAACTAGAGAAATAAATACAGGTGGTATAACACTATGGAGTACTATGCAGCAGTTAAAAAGAATGAAGGATACTATACCCTCACTAATGTGAAAAACACCTCCAAACCAACCAAACTATAAACAAACAAACAAACTGCAGAACCTGGACATTTTGATGCCATTTATGAAAAATTTTTTTACAAACCAGAACTTTGTAAAATGATGGAAATGTTCTGGATCTGCACAGTCCAGTACAATAGTGGCCAGTCACCCATGGCTACTGATGTGGCTATTGTTATCTAGAAACTGAATTTTAAATTTTATTTCATTTTAACCAATTTAAATTTAAATACCCACATGTGGCTAGTGGCTATTGTATTTGAATGTTCCCAATGGAGATGATGGATTTGTGCCTCTCTATGCAACAATCCTTCCTATACTGTGAAAAGGAAAGAGGGGAGGAAGGGAGGGAAAGCCATAGCTGCCTAAGTCTTCTCCAAGCCAGATTCTTCCAGTTCTCACCAGAAACAGAGCCAGCATCCTCTCAACATCACATGGCTCTGTTGTAGCTCAGAACAACTCTAGTCAAGATATAAACATTTCTTAGACACTTATCTTAGTGGTATGGCATATTCACCGAGTGTCAGCACAGACTTCTGAACATGTGGTCATTCATTTGGTCATAAATATTTACTAAACGCCAGGCACTGCACTAAGAGGAGGGCATACAGCATAAACAAGATCTATGTCAACAGAGCCTATGCCCCCAAAAGCCTTAGCCCTGAAAATTCTATTTGGGCCGGTAAACACGGAAAAAAAAACTTTGATTTCAATTCATTCCAGCCAGTACAACTCATTTGTTGCTGAATACAACTAGGACCGTGAAACCCACATAGACCATCTTTATTCAGTGTCTAATATAGTAAAATATCTACATATCATGTCCAAATTCTCCATCACAACAGGGCAAGTCTAATGAGTAATTCCCAAAAGTCCCTTAGACCAAGTTTTCAATAGTCCACAGCAAAAAAAAAAAAAGTAAAAAAGAACAATGTAACATATAGAATAAGTTTGCCTATAGGGATTCTCTTTATTATAAGATCATGTCCTTTTTTCTTTCTTTTTGTATTCAAATGTTCCTTACCTCATGAAATAACTAGTTTTGGTAGAAAGCAGGAAATTCCTGGGTTTTTTTATTTGTTTTGTCTTTAAACAGTCTTACCTGACAGATAACAAGATAGCAATCAATCTTCTATACCAAATATTTGTTGATACTTTATTTGTCCATGTCACCCACCAATTTAAAGGACTCAAGAAAGTTTCCTCTTCTCATACAACGTAACCAAAAAAAGATAAACAACCCAATGAAAAATAGATACTTTTCGAAAGAAGACAGCAGGAAGGCCAAGAGACATATGAAAACATGCTCAAATTCACTAATCATCTGAGAGATGCAAATCAAAAGGACAATTCAGTACCATCTCACACCTGTCAGAATGGCTGTCATCAACATATAAACAAGTAACAAGTGCTGGCAAGGATGCAGAAAAAAAGGAACCCTCATGCACTGCTGGTAGCAATGCAGACTGATACAGCCACTATGGAGTCTCCTAAAAACAAAAGCAAAACACACACACACACACACTAAAAATGGAACTCCCATTTGACCCAGTGATCCCACTTCTAGGACTATATTCCAAGAAACTTAAAAACACCAATCAGAAAGAATATGTGCATCCTATATTCATAGCAGCACAATTTACCAAAGGTAAGATCTGGAAACAGCCTAAGTGCCCATCAGCAGATGAGTGGATTAAAAACTGTGGTACATCTACACAATGGAATACTACACTGTGGTAAAAGAAAGAAAAGAAAGAAAAGAAAGAAAAGAAAGAAAAGGAAGAAAAGGAAGAAAAGGAAGAAAAGGAAGAAAAGGAAGAAAAGGAAGGAAGGAAGGAAGGAAGGAAGGAAGGAAGGAAGGAAGGAAGGAAGGAAGGAAGGAAGGAAGAAAGGAAGGAAGAAAGAAAGAAAGAAAAAGGGGGAGGGAGGTAGGATTCTTACCATTTGCAACAGCATGGATGGAACCAGAGAGCATTAGGCTAAGCGAAACAAGCCAGTCAGAGAAAGATAAGTATCACATGATCTCAATCATTTGTGGAATATAATGAACAACATAGACTGATGAACAAAAATAGATCCAGAGACAGAAAAGCATCAATCACACTGTCAAACCTCAGAGGGAAGGTAGGGGAGGGTGGGGGTAAGGGGGAGAGATCAACCAAAGGACTTGTATGCATGCTTATAAGCCTAACTAATGGACACAGACAACACGGAGGGTGAATGTTTGTGTGTGTGTGTGGGGGGGGGGGGGGGGGGAACGGGGGTATAAGGACACATATGTAATACATTAATCAATAAAGAAAAAAGAATTCCAGGTTTTAAAAAACTGTCTAACTCCAATAAACAAACAAAAAGAAGAAGAAAAAAGTTCCCTCTGCTCTAAAATGCACATCCTGGACACACACGAGGCAATTACTCCCCCAACAAATACACCTCCATGAGATTAAGTCATTACATTTTGACACAAGTAGAAGTTAGCTTACCCCCTCTTGCTGTATAATTTTCAAGAACATTAACATCACGCTAAGACAGATAAAAACACAGGATTATCAATGTGCAAAAAGTCTAATCATACAAAGTATATTGGAGACAGTAACAATTGTCATTGATGACAGTTACTTCAGTCACAATAAAAGTAGCCAAATTTTTACCTAAGTTATTTGCGGCTGGTCTTAAATATCAACCGCCGTGACAAGGAAAGATTACATTTATTAAGCTCCAGAAAAGAGTGGGAGGGGAGAAGAGAGAAAATAAAGAAAGAAATAACTTGTTAATAATAACAATGCAAACTCTATCACACAATTAGGATTATCACAGCAATGACAAAACTGCAAATGTTACTTAGTATTCAAAAGTGAGGCAAAGCTCCCACAGGACACCCACCTCTGCTCCACTCACCCACCCCCCAACAACAACAAATGCCTCCCCTTACCTTCCAGAAATCTGTGTGCTTTCATGTACGGGTTAAAATGTAGGAAGCGAATACAACATAGCATAAACAAGAGGGTGCTCAAGCCAAGCAGGCCTAAATTCCCAAATACACCTCCTACTTTCTATGTGTGACCTTGGGCAAGTCATTCAAGCTCTTCAAGCCCTGCTAGAGCAAACACCACTTGCAGATGTCTGACTCTGTGCTGTAGGCACATAGTGTGACATATCAGTTCCTTCTTGCATAGAGTAATGATATTGACAATATCTGTCTCACAGCGGTAACTTGGGAAATTAAATTAGATATTATGTATCTAAAACTCTGGCACAGTGCCTGATCACAGGAAATGTTCAAAAAAAGTTAACTCAGTGACATCAACCAGCATCTATCCAACCTGAAAGTAGCTAGAAAACTTTCGAACTTTAATAAAGTCTATACCCAGCCGACCCTTAGGCAAGTTGCTCATTTAATAAAAACATGTCACCGAAACCCTACAAAGAGTTTCTAAGCCACTTGGGCTGGCAATCTAATAGCAGATGAACCCTGTTTGTTTGTGCCTAACAAACCCGGGCTATTAAAAGACACTGCATGAGATTCCAAGTTTTCCTAACTTCTAAAAGTAGGCCATAAGCATCCTCCCCCACTGGTTTCCCAGTCTCTCCCCTCTGGACGTTTCTGGCTGTCGGGGACCCCCTCTCCCCTCCCCGGCGCTCAGAGGGAGAGAGAAGACCCCCCAGGAGGGGCCGGGTTGGGGGCAGGCGCGCACCCCCGCGCCCTCCCTCCGCCCAGACCCACCTTGAGCAGGATGGACGGCGGCAGCTGGTTGATGTCCGGGGTTTCGGGGGGCGGCTCCCTAGGGCAATCACAAGGGTTTTCGCGGGGCTCCTGACAGTCCGTGTCGCCGCATTCATGCTGCTGCTGCTGCTGCTGCTGCTGCTGCTGCTGCTGGGCAGGCGAGGGGGCGGTGCTCCCGGCTCGGACCGCGTCCCCGCCGGCCTCGGAGGGGGCACCTTCGGACGCGGGAGAGGAGGGCGGGGGGCAGAGCGGCGGCTGCTCGGAGCCCGGGCAGCACCCGGCATCGGGGGGCCGGGGAGGCGAGGCGCCTCCCCCCGCGGGGCCTCCTCCGCCGCCGCCGCCGCAGCCCCCGCCGCCGCCGCCGCAGCGGGGCTGCTTACAGGGGGTGCAGGCGGGGACCCCGGCCCCCTTGCGCTTGCACACCATCTCGGGGGGCTCGGGGGGCGGCGGCGGCGGCGGCGGCGTGGGCGCCCGGAAGAGCTGCACGGCGACGGGCGGCCCCAGGAAGCGCACGGGCCCCACGCCGGCCAGGAGGAGGCTGCGGCCCTGCTGCTCCCAGGCGGCGGCGGCGGCCAGCCCCAGCTCCTTGCAGCAGGAGGCCGGCGACGAGGCCGAGGCGGCGGCGGCGGCCGCGGCGGCGGCGGAGGACAGCAGGAAGCGGCGGGCGGCGGCGGCGCAGTCCTCGGCGGCCAGGGCCGCGTAGCGCCGCGCCAGGTGCTGCGGGGAGGCGGCGGCGGCGGCCGCGGCGGCGTAGGCCCCGTCCCGCGGCGGCGGCGACAGCGGCGGCTCCTCCTCTGGGCCGGCGGGGGCGGGCGCGCCGGGGCTGTGCACGATGAAGCAGAGCATGCAGGGCCCGCGGAAGAAGCAGTCCCGGCTCCGGGGCGCCGCCGGCGGCTGCTGCTGCGGGGTCGCCTTGGCCGCGGTCCGGCGGGGCAGCCTGAGCAGCGGGCGGCGGCGGCGGCACCAGCTGCAGCAGCGCAGCCTCTTCTGGCTCGGGCGGTTACGCGGCTCCTTCGAGAGAAGGTGGCCCATATAGAAGGCCCCGCGGAGGGGGGACGGGACGGGGCGTGGGGAGGCCCGCAGAGGGGGCTCCCGGCGGCGGGGCAGGCCGCTCTGGCGCGGGCTCCTCGGGCTCGGGCTCGGGCGCGGCGGGGCCCCCGGCGCTCACGCTCGCACACTCGGGCGCACACACACGCGCGGCGGCGGGGGTGGGCGTCCGCTGGGGCCGCTCGGCGCCCGTCGGGGCTACATGCTGCGCCCGGAGCGGCCGGGGGCGCGGGCGGGGAGGATGGAGGGGGGGGGGGGTGAGAGCTTGGGGGCGCGACGGAGAGGCCGAGCCTGCAAGCTGGGCGGCCGGGTCCGAGCCTGACCCACCGGCTCAGTCCGTCCCTGCGGCGACGGCGGTGGCGGCGGCGGCGGCGGCGGGGGCAGCGCGGGGTCCCGCTCGGACCATTTTAACTGCGGCTCCGCCGGCGGCGCGCGCGCCCGCGACGCGGCTGGGAGCCGCAGGAGCGCGCGGCCCGCGCGGGGCGGGAGGGGCGGAGCCGGCGGCGGCGGCGGCGGCGGCGCGCTCGGGGCGGGGATGCGGGGCTGGGATGCAGGCGGCTCCCCGCTGGGAGGTCCGCCCGCCGGACTGGGACAGCGGGGATGGGGACAGCGGGGAGGCTGGCCGGGGAGGGCGCGGGGGCGAGCGGGGAGCGGCGCACGACCCTCCCTGCGGGCGCGCCGGGCTCCTCGGGGCCGCGGCGGGCCCCACGCCCCTTTTCGGGGGCGGGCGGAGACGTTTCCGAGCCAGCTGTGTGACATCCGTTTGCAGAGCCGCGGCGCTGACGTCTGGAGGTGTAAGTTCAAGAACTGCCATTGGCCGGGAGCCGCTCGGCTCTTCCGCCCGCCCCACCCGCGACTCAGACCGGAGCCCGTGGCCGCGGCCGGAGCAGCGGGGAGCTGTTGCGCCAGGAGGCCGGCCTGTGCCGGGGCTGCCGCCTCGGGGGGGGGGGGGGGGGGGGGCAGGGGTGACCCCTTGGGTGGTGGGCACCGGCGTTCCCATGGAAGGGGTTCATGGGCAGTGCAACGCTACTGTGTTTCTCCACTCGTCATACTTTGTTACTCGTGGTAGACTACTAACTATGTAACTTTCATTCAAGAGGAAAGCATGTATCAAGTTACCTATACACACCGGAAAGATAAGTTTCTCAACGCAGCGGGTCACCCAAAACCTCAGGCGATGGATGAGCTATCCGTCAGCACCCTTGGACTCGCATCTAGCTATCATCATATACTTTTAAAAATTATTGTGCAATGCCTCCTTTATGATAAAAAAAAAAAAAATGGTTCCAGGTAGACTTAGGTGACTCAGATGAGAAAGAGAAAGTAGGCTTTGCAGACTCCACTTCAGAAGGTTTGGCTGGAATGATACCAGAAAGATAAGACAACAGCTAGCCTGGTACCTGGTGTTGAGAGGTTAGCTTTCACAAGAGAGAAGAAACTGGAAGAGCCTTAGTGATGGGAATAAGCCGGTGCAAAGGAGGAGGTTACGAGAGAGAATACAGCAAGGCCCTTGAGAAGGTGGAATGGCAAGTACCTCAGGAGGGATACCATCTTCACCGTGATGGGAAGGAATAAGGAAAGGACAGATGAACGCGTACAGACAGGTGGATGTTTCTGGGAAGGAAGTGAAAGAGTTGCTTTCTAATGGTCTCTGCTTTTCTGTAAGTGGGGCCTGGGTACCTGCTGAAGGAAAGTGGCACTAAGGATAGCTTGAGAGGAAGCTGAATTGCAAGAGAAGGCACATCCACTTTAGGGACCATTGTCTGAGCCTGTGTAACCTTCCCGCCACAGTGGCTGGCTTCCCAAAGGCATACCACCACCACCAAACCTTTGCTAATAACGCCCTGTTTGTGAAGAATGACTTGCTTCAGGTCTGTCAGTATCCCTTTCTGACTTAGAATCCTAAAGGCAAAGATTTATGAAAGGGTTTTATGTACCAGTTACTACCTCTGACTCTCGAATGCACTGCCCAAACTATATTACCTGCAGGTATTATCCACACAGCGTTCATCCCTTTGGCTGTCGACGGATCTTCCAGAGCTTAATTTTTGAGGACAGGCAGTCAGGATTGACTGGAATTGCCTGAGGTTATGACATTGTTTGCCATCTCTATGATGCTACACTTTGAACAAACAGAGGGATTCTAAGTTTTTTTTATTATGTTCACTATGTCAAAATTATAGACCCATTCATTTCATATAAGTTGAACACACACTATGACCTAGCATTTGCAGTAATAGGTATTGATCCAAAAAAAATAAGTATGTATCCACAAAAAGACTTGCACAGAAATGTTTACAGCAGCTTTATTCATGATCCCCAAAATCTACAAGCAGCACAGATGGCCATCCATAGAGAATGCATAAACAGGTATATTCATTCAGTTGAATACTACTCAGTAATTTCTAAAAAAAAAAAAAAAAAAAAAAAAAAAAAAAAAAGAAGAAGAAGAAAAAGAAAAAGAAAGAGAAAGAGAATAACATGGATGAATCTCAGAAATTTGGGCTGAATCAGACTTTGGGATTGGGGGTCCTAAAACCTCTACCTAATTTTCACAGATAACCTCCCCTTGTGATTACTGCACAGACAGCGCGGCACCATGCCGACTTCTCAAGAGATACTCATATCATCTAACTTCTTGGTTTAGAGATGAGGCACGTGATTCTGAGACTTTTGAAGTGTTTCTGAAATTCATAGCACTAAGTTCTTGCTTCCAATCCAGAGCCTTTCCAGCTATTTTTCTCTTTACCAGGCATGTAGCACAGGCCTTGTATATTATAGCATTGATTAAGTAAACTGTTACCAAAGATTTGAGTATTAGAACTCACTACCCTAAATAATAATACTGATGATATTCTAAATACTTAGGAAACAATTACAAATCCGAGATATAAATTGCTATGTAGAGATTATTGTAGAAGCTGATGGCTTTGTTACAAAAAGAAAAGCAGCCTGAACTACCAGAGCTGGGCTGACACCGCTAAACCCTGCTGTCACTGCCATTCTCAGATAGATCTGAGTGTTCAGTTGAACATAATTTCCGAAAACACCAACATCAGACATAGCTGCTCTGTGACCATAATAGACAAAAGTAAGACCCCTCCATAATCATGTCTAACCACAGCAAATAACATTCTCCAAACCATCAAAATGTCCAAACGTTCTGGCTAATATCAAGTGACTTACAATTTCTTGACCAGTTATAACCTTAGCCTTGCTTCATTCTTCCTGCCTTCTAGATAATTCTTAAAATACGTAATCATAAAATTACCTCTGCTTCCTGACAGCATCCATTTCAAGGCAAAGCTTTGATCCTTCCCCAAATCACCTTATACAAGGCCAACCCTATAAGTGTTTACAACCCCTTCCTACTGAGACCCTCCATAGTTTCGCCTGGTGTGTTGTCTGCTTCCCTGTAACGTCAAGAAACCCAGCTTGGTTTAGCTGTGGATGTGTTCCTGCTGGTCTTGGGCCGGAGGGCATTCACATTTGCTGTAATCAAATGTCACCACCTTATCAAATTATTCCTTCCTTGTGCTGTACCCCTTAAACTTACCCAGTGCTGTGTTATCAATGATATCTTAATAACACTGAAATGAAATAAAATGCCTTCCTCCTTTACTCTTTCCTCTGACTCTGCTTTTACTTTCTTTATACATACCTCGTTATCACATTTATTTTGTCCTTTTTTTTTTTTTTAACTTTTAGTCTCTTCCAGTAGAATGTAAGCTCTATGAGAGCAGATTGTGTTCAGTTTTTAGGAATATAAGCTGGCAACTGTACAGAAGATGGACTAGAATAGGAAGATGCTTTCAGCAGAAAGATTGTCCAAAGAGTCAATGTTAAAAGTATGAATGAAGGCTGTTACGGCAGGGGTGATGAAGTAGGGGGAAGGACTGAGAAATATTCCTTATGTGGAGTTTTCAGAATTAAGTGACTTATTTATGAGTAAGGTAGAGAAAACAAGATGATGGTTAAGGAGGGATGAAGAATTCGAAAATAATGACTTTTTTTCATATTTGAATACAATTTAACCTTGCGGAAGGCCTGCATTAGGACATAGATTCACACTGAAAGCCACTGTGTAAATGTAAATGTTGAAAACAGTTTAACAGGAAAGCCTTTTCTTCTTTGCTCACATAGAATATAGTCCCTTTGAAATTCACATTTGCTTATAAATGTATAAAAAAGGCTTAATGCTTGCAGAGGGGTAATGATGGTTTTTATAAAAAGCTAAAACATCCTATGGCACCAGTGACAGAAGTAGGACACAGTTAACATGCCACTGATGCCACCGATTGTGCTTGGTACACTGGGTGGCCTAAAAGGACACTCCCGGGGCAGAAGGCATTGTTGTATGCCTCCAGAAAGCATGCAACACCCCGGGTGTTCAATTAATTCCTTGTTGAATTGTGCTTTTGTCAAAAGACTCAAAGCCAAGGATAATAGCCAAAACAGCCAGCTTTCAGGGAATCCCATTCGGGAGGGCAATCTGTACTCTTGAATGTTGGTTTCAGGCGTAGTCATTCAGCTGCTTGCCTGCACTATTCCCTCAGCTCTTCTCATGGCTGATTCATGCTCATCTTCCAGGTCTCAGCCCAAATATCACCACCTCCGGTCCCCAGAGCTCTTCTCTGGTCAATCTGTCACACCACCCCGTCCGTTTCCTTCACAGCAGCTACCACAGTCCGCAGTCAGTGTTTCAGTCTTCACTGATTATCACTTGCATCAGAATTAACCCCTTCTTTGTTTACTTGAGAATCAACAGCACTTATGGGCTGCATTTTAAAGGGAGGTTATCCTGGGAGGGGCTGATGTAACCAAGCCAGCTTTTTAAAAGAATACAGGAAGATTGAAAGCTTGGATGCTTTTGCTATTGGCCTTGAAGGTGTTGAGGAGAAGGCTGAGTGGCCAGAAATGGCAGGTGGTCTAGTAGCCCCTGACTGTTCTGAATTTTGCCAACAAATAGATAAGCTTGGAAGATA